GTCAGCAGCAGCATCTGATCAATATGTGATCCATGATGTAAATCTGTGTTTGATTACTCTGCCTGGCTTTCTCAAGGACCAGGATGTGACACAAACATCTGAATTATGGAACTGAAAGTGAAAGTAGTCAAACTGAGTTTTAATAAACCAAAATACAGTTTCAAAGAAAATTAATTCAGATACAAAACTTTAAATTCAGTTTTGATTCAGTTATATTTATTCTCAAACCGATATTTTAAATTTCTGAACTCAGATTGAATCTGAACAACTCAAAGTCACTTCCTGCTGACTCAGCATTGATCTCCTGGAGGTCGTCTGTCTGCAGGACTGATGTTTGTGATGAAAAATGATTTCCTCTGTGCACAGCGTTGGGGCTTTATCTTTACACAAATGAGAGATTGATTTCTAGGCCTTTAAAAGATGTGTTTTAAAAACGTGTATTCTACCTGACCAGGTGGGCCAGGTGCTCCTCAAACCAGCAGAAACACAAGAATGTAAACATTTAAACTTTAGCTCTGCGTGGCCACTTCACACAGGAAAAATTAAACTAAAACAATAATAATGTTCAGCCCAGAAGCAAAGCAGGGCTGCACCTGAAGCCACGCCCCCATTCGTGGCTCCACCCTCTCACCAGTCTGATTCCAGCTCTGACTCCACCCTCTCCTTCCTGCAGAGGAGGCGGGACTAGAGGCGGGACCTATAAAAACAGATAGCTGCCTTGTCAAACAATCACCAAGCTGCGTGGGTGTGGGGACCAATCAGAGCCCTGCTCAGAGTCACCTGACATCACAGGTGAGTTTTTCTTGCTGGAGCTGCGACTGCTTCCTGCTGACTTGTTGCTTAGCAACAGCTGACACACCTGTAGATCTTAAACCAGTCCAAACAGTCGACACATTAAAAAGACGTGGTGAACATTAAATGAGGCCCCGCCCCCAGTCTGTGGCAGGTATGAGGTGCTACAGGTGCTGTGATGTTGAAAAACACACACATATATATATATATATATACACATGTGGGCGTGGTCAGAGCAAGCCCCGCCCCTCTACACAGCAGACAGCTTGTCCTGAGGGCTGCCACTGTCGCTGCCATTGTTGTTGTTATTGTCAGACGACGTCACGCCGCTCTGTGTCCTTTCAGAAGGCTTGGGGGCGGAGTCTCTCTCTCCAGTAGCTGTGTGGGCGGGGCCAGGGGACGACAGGGACGAGGTGCGGGACAAAGACGGGCGGTACGCTGCGGTCAGCTCAGCCAGGCGCTCTGGTGTCGGAGCCCACTTTGTGAATCCTGCCTGGTTCTGCAGGAAGAGTACTGCGGTTCCGTGTACTGCCCGGTAGTACATGTCCTCCCTGAAAACCCAGAACCCACAGAACTGTTAGTCCACTGCTCCTCCCTGACCCTCCACTCATTATAAATATCTTTATTTAATGATTTTCATACTAAAATCTATATCCTTATAGAACACTATTTTTGATTTTATTTAGCAGTAATACTGCATGTACACATCTAGTACATTCATTATTAGTACTTGAATAACACAAGAAAGTGAGAATCACTTATTTCCATTATGGTCCAAAAAGTGACAGAGTTCAACGTGGGAAAATAGAGACACAAAAACCGTGTTTCCATCAAGGCTTTTTGATGCACATTTAGAAGTGTCGCATTAAAAATGTGAAAAAAAGTCGGATGGAAACAGCAAAATTCGAAAAAAAAAATCCTTAATTCACTAAAAAGTATTTACACTCGCTTGAGGTGGTTTTTGGATGATTCACAAAGTAGTTAATGCGCAAAACAGGAGATGGAAACACGTTTGCTGAATAAATTCTGACATAGCGCATATTTACCTCACGTGACGTTCAGCTGTTTCTGCTTTCCTACCTCGTCCTGGATGTTAGCCCTGCGTAGTTGCACGTGCCTTTCTGCTGCGTAGTTTAACATTGCGTTTATTTCCCTACGTCTCCTGGCAGCGTTAAACATAGCCTGTACTAGCTGAATAGATAGAATAATTACAACTTGCCCAATAGCAAGGCATTCACAAAAAAAATTGTTCCATTGTCCCGAGATGAGTAGCCTCTGCTAGTTAGCAAGTTTCACTTCCTGTTTACTACCACAAAGCTTGACGCCTCGTCTGACGTAATCACTCATTGCGTAGCCTCATCTGATGTAATCACGCGTTGCGTAGCCTCATCTGACGTAATCACTCGTTGCGTAGCCTCATCTGACGTAATCACTCGTTGCGTAGCCT